TCTCTTTCTCTCTCTTTCTCTCTCTCTTTCTCTCTTTCTAACTAACCTTTTTCTATCCATCTACAATGACTCTGTCCTATATCCATCTACCTCCTATCTCTACCCATCTCCCTACCCCTTCCTACCAATCTACCCATCTATCTATCAACCGCTCTTACCAACCCCCCCCCCCTCCCCAGCTTAACGAGATGAGCAACAACGGAGACCTCTGGGCAGTACAGGAGACCGGAATCACAGTTGGTCAGTACATCTGCGAATACCTCGCTGACCATTACTTTTTCTCGATAAACAACCATAAGGTGGGTATTTTGCGTATTATTTCTTTATTATTCTCTCTTTATATTATTCTTTCTTTCGTTGTATGTTCTGTTATGTTTAATGTGTTGTATCTTGTTGTCATGTGTGTAGGTTTGTTATTGGTGTTAATGTTATTATGATTATTATTATCATTATCAAGATTATTTTTGTTGTTATCATTTTTATTATTGTTGTTATTAGTATCATTGTCAATATTTTTTTATTATCAGTATCATTGTCAATATTATTGTTGTTGTTGTATTGTTATTGTTATTATTACTATTATTATCATTATTATTATTATTATTGTTATTATTATTATTATTATTATTATTATTATTATTATTATTATTATTATTATTATTATAATTATTATTGTTATTATCATTATCTTTACAGTTATCATTGTCAATATCATTGTTGTCATTATTATAATTATTATCATTATTATTAATGCTGTTGTTTTGTTGTTGTTGTTGTTATTATAACTATTATTATTATTATTATTATTATTATTATTATTATTATTATTATCATCATTATTATTATTATTATTACTAATATTGTTGTTGTTGTTGTTGTTGTTACTATCATTATCTTTACAGTTGTCATTGTCAATATTATTGTTGTCATTATTATAATTATTATCATTATTATTATTGTTGTTGTTGTTGTGATTATTATTATTATTATTATTATTATTATCATTATTATTATTATTATTATTGTTGTTGTTGTTGTTGTTGTTATTGCTGTTATCGTTATTATTATTATCTTTACAGTTATTATTATAATTATTATTATCATTATCATTATTATCATCAAAAATTACAATTCTTACCATTATCATTATCATTATCTTTCTTATTACTATCATTATTGTAATCAAATTATCATGGATCTTATCATTTAAATCAAACGCTAGAATAACTGACTCAAATTAGTAAAAACAGATGCTATAATTATTATCACAACTTTTAATAGCATTGTCACCACCAGCACTTATTATCGCCACCACTACCACTGTCACCACCACCTTCAACATCACCACAACTATCCTCATTACCACCACCATTATCTTCGTCCTAACCATCATCACCATTACCTCCTATCATTATCATCTTTAACATCACCACTACTATCATCCTCATCATTACTAGCATCAACATCACCAGCATCATCAACATTTCATCCCCACTTTCACCATTATTTCCTTCAACATCACCACCACTACTGTTACTATCCATACCACCACCACCATCACCACCATCACCTTCAATAACACTAACATCACCTACAGCATCATCACCAAAACACCATCACCTTCAACAACATCACCACCACCATCAACACCACCATCATCACCTTCAGCAACATCACCACCACCATCACCTTCAACAACACCAACATCACCTACAACATCATCACCACCATCACCTTCAGCAACATCACCACCAACAACACCATTACCTTGAGCAACATCACCACCACCAGCATCACCTTCAACAACATCACCACATTATCAACGCCACCACCACCACCTTCAACAACATCCCCATTACCTACATCACCACCATCACTTTCAACAACACCAACATCACCATCAACATCACCTCCAGCAAGATCACCACTATCACCTTCAGCAACATCACCTCCATCACCTTCAACAACACTAGCATCACCCACAACATCATCACCACCACCATCATCACCTTCAGCGACATCACCATCACCTTCAACAACACCAACATCACCTACAACATCATCATCACCACCACCATCACCTTCAGCAACATCACCACCAACAACACCATCACTTTCAACAACATCACCACCACCATCAACGCCACCACCACCACCTTCAACATCACCACCATCACCTTCAACAACACCAACATCACCTACAGCATCATCACCACCAACAACACCATCACCTACAGCAACATCACCACCATCACCTTCAACAACATAAACATAAATACGATTTTTACAGGTATACGGCTACAACGAGGTGTGTGGTGGTGCCTGGGAGTTCACAGGCGTGGAATCACAACAGATGTTATGTTGTGACGGAGGAGATCACGTTCACTGTATTTCCGAATAAATTATGGTGATGAGAGTGATGATGGTGATGATGAAGGGTGACGAGCTCCGTAACGATGATGGTGACGATGATGGTGATGATTCTCTGTTGAATTTTCATCATATTTTTGTCGATATGAGTTCGGAATATGTGAATCTGATTGTGTAATTTTTGTGAATAAAAGTTGTGATTATG